AATATATAGATTGAAATGTGCTAATTGCATAAGTATTCAACACTCTAAGTCAGTACTTGATGGAAGCACCTTTGGCAGCAATTACTGCTGTGAGTCTTTTTGGATAGATCTCTATTGGCTTTGTACGATGGGGTGGTGTAATTGTTGCCCATTCTTCCTGACAAAATTGCTCCAGTTCTGAAAAGTTCTATGGAGATCGTTGATGGACTGCAGTCTTCAAGTCTCGCCATACATTTTCCATTAGATTCAAGCAGGACTTTGACTGGGCCACTCCAGGACATTTATTTTCTTATTTTGAAACCACTCGAGTGTGGCTTTAACCTTGTGCTTCGGGTCATTGTTCTACTGAAATATGAATTTTTGACCCAGTATTAGATTCTTGGCTGACTCAAGCAGGTTTTCCTATAGGATTCACCCGTACTTTGCATCATCAATCTTCCCCTCAATCCTGACAAACTTCTCCGTCCCTGTTGATGAGAAGCATAATATGATGCTGCCATCACCATGTTTGACAGTCGGGATGGTGTTGATGGGTGCTTGCCAGGCTGCTTAGTTTGGAAGGGCAGCCTGATTTGGGTAGTGACTGGGTGGTATGAAGCACATTCCACATCTTAATGATGGACTTCACCACATTCAAAGGGATAATCAGCAACTTTGAAATTATTTTGTAATCTTCTCCTGATCTGTGCTTCTCTACTGCTTTATCCCTGACTTGTTTGGAAAGCTCCTTGTTCTTCATGGTTTGTTTGTTGTATCAATATGTGAGTTGTGGCTTGAACAGATGTATTTACTCTAAAGTCAAGTTAAACGACTTTGATTACACACGGAGACCATTGCACTCATTTTGTGACCTCTCAAACTAATCTTTTACACCTGAATTGATTTAGAGCTGTCGTAGCAAAGAGGTTGAATACTTATGTAATTCTTATTTTCTTTAAAAATCTAACTTACTTAGATAATATCGGCGTTTTTCATGATTGCAAGCTCAAATGGCAGCAAAATGTGGACACTTGCAAGGCACTATAAATTATGCTTGCACAAGTAAGTGTGGCTACACATACACCAATATATATATATATGTGTGTGTGTGTAAAAATATATTTTCGTATTCTACGTTTTCTACTTAGGTATGATTATGCTATGAAAGATAACATTAGAAATGATAAAAATTAGTTAACAAAATGCAATTGCGTACGGGCAAACAGATCTTATCGGGTAAGCGTGATTTATATTACGGAAAACAACTGTAGACAAAGATATTTACAACACCTTCGTCCATAAGGTGACACCTATCTACTCTGGTCTTTCCTGGTAAGTTATTGATTGATTTTATTCATACTAAAAAGTCTCTGATGCAGAAAGATTCAAAATTAATCACAAGTTGAATTTTCGAAAGACTATGCCCTTCAGTGGCACAATGTCTTCGGACTTACAACGCTAAAAACTGGGTTTCAATACCCGTGGTTGGCAGAGCACAGATAGCCCATTGTGTAGCTTTGTGCTTAATTACAAACAAACAAAGCCTCAAGTTTTTGCCTGTCGCTGGGACAGCAGCAAGTCTATGGGTTTACAACGCTAAAATCAGAGGTTTGATTCTCCTCGGTGGACACAGCAGATAGTCCGATGTGGCTTTGTTATAAGAAAAACACACACACACATATACACTTGAAGGTCTAACGAATTTGTCGGGCCTGGCATCAGTGACATAACTACAAATTGGGCCCTGAACATTTATTTCTTAATTCTTAAGTACTTATTAAGTTTGTAAGGCCGTTGCCCCCGCCTCCGCAACTACCGAGGCTTCGGAGGCATACTTACGCCATTCTCTGGCATATCCTTGATTAGGGCTCTCGACTCACAATCTGACGGTCGCGAGTTCGAGTATCCGTTACCAAACATGATATATAGTTGGGATTAAAGTCGTGAAAGAAAAAAATATTACTATTAAATATTTTACTCACCCACATGAAATCTTAGAACCTTCCTGACTTTTATAAGTAATCTTCTATTTCTTTACTGAGCGTATTTTTAATATGCTCTTTTTATGTTTTATTAACAAGTGAAATAACAACACTGGTTTTTCAGATCTTCTTATAATCGTTCTTGCGCTATGCCCCCCAATGGCGCAGCGGTATGTCTGCGGACTTACAATGGTATAAACCGGGTTTCGATACTTGTGGTGGGCAGAGCACAGATAACCCATTGTGTAGCTTTGTGAATAACTTAAACAAACAAACAAACAACCTTGCGCAATATTTGATGCTTTCAAAACTAACCTTCCCAAATATGTTCGAAGAGTGGTAACTAAACGTTAAGATTCTTTACAAAACTGTCTGTTCTTTAGTAAAAGTTGGTTTATAGTTGCCCAGTTGGTTTATTTATATAATTTGTAACGACAGAAGGAGAATATTTTAACTACGGAATAGTTTATTTGATATTTGAGATTTTGTGCAAGAAAATATATTGGACATCATTTAGATTGAGTAAAAAACAAGTCTTATATATAAATAACTTTTTACGTGAATATAGCTTGTATGTCTTCTATCGAAAGACAATGACCAAAATATATTGAAATTAAACATGTCTGTTGTATTTTAGTTTTTAAACTAATTGACTACCTAAATTACGTCTTTTCTTTTAAAGAGATTAATTGCTTGAGAATTTTTTAACTTACGTACTTTCATTTGCATTTCCCGACAGATCGTGAGGATATTATCACGGATAAATTCATCGAGATTCTCAACATCAGCCAGAATGGCCTCCAAGCTCCTGTCCAAATATCAGTAAACCAATTATATAATAGATCCATTTCTAAGATACCATTACGTGAACCAATAACTTTGTCCTGCGAGTTATAGAACTAAGATGAAGTCAAAGAAATACTTTTCATTCAAGACTAGCTTACCTTTATTTGCTAGAATGGTCGGTGTAATTGCTTTTTTTACAAGGTCAAACAGCATTATAATAGCTTCTATATTAACTAGAAATTTCTATGTACCTTTATTGGTACATACCAAGCACCTTCCAGTCCTATGCAAGCTGATTTGGCCACCATATCTCTGGACACAAGCTGACTATTACAACCCTAGGTCAGTGGCAAAATCCAACTTTGACTTTTACATTAGATTAATAAGGCTAAAGCTGTGGCTGCCATGGTTTGACTACAGCCATCCTGCATCTGTGGTGAAGTTGGGAAAACTGTTTAATCTTTCTATTTTGTTGAGAACAAAGTATGATAAATTTTGTTTAAAATACCCACCAGCCATATAAGCGCACATTCTATTTCTCCCACCATCTTGTGGAAATAGATGTAACTATTGTGACACAACCATTATAAGGGGTCTTAGTAAGGTAATACCACTCAACGGTATCCTATGTAGCTGTTCCAATACGATAAGAAGTGTTTGAATGTAACTATGTCAAGACAATGGAAGTGTTTGTGGCAGGAAAGTTTGCTTGTAGTACGGGTGAACTACCATTCAATGCTGATCAAACTAGGCTCAAGAACAATGGATTTCACAAGTATAGTTTAAGGAGGAAGTCGCAGGGCCACCAAATGTCGAACTGGTGCTATACGGTGTATGTTATAGGTGTGGTATAATACAGCATCTCTGTGTACGGAGATAACAGAATGAACAGATAGAACAAAACACACATTATTTTCTGTCCAGACACCAGGCTGTGCTTGCTCATATAATTACCTGTTGGAGTGGTGGCATTATTCTAATGCTGATTCCAAAACATGGACTTGCAGCTATTCAATTTCATACTGGAGTGGTCATCAGCATAGTGAACAAAGTGGAAGCGACTGAAAAATCTGTACAGTTATGGTTGCTTCTTCTGAATCACATCTGAGAGTAAATGCACGATTCGATGACGAGGAACCCACTTTGAGACTAATAATGGCTGGAGACGGCTTGAATGGGTAATGAAGAAAAACTTTAATATAAGTTTAACATAACAGCAAATGTACAACGTTCCGACAAGGTTTTGTCATCATCAGGAACCCACTTTGAGACTAATAATGGCTGGAGACGGCTTGAATGGGTAACGAAGAAAAACTTTAATATAAGTTTAACATAACAGCAAATGTACAACGTTTCGACAAGGTTTTGTCATCATCAGGTCCACAGACATACCGCTGTGCCATTGGGGGGGGGGGCAGCGTGACAAAACATTTCAGTCAATAAAACATGCTTTTCTTGAGGTTCTGGAGTCAGCTTATCTGAGACCAGACTGTCTAGTGATACTGAACACTGATGCCAGGGACAGAAAAACTGTGGTATCATTATAGATGCGGAGCAGTAAATATCATGTAATTGAATGTGCTAGTCATAGCAGTAAATATAATGTAATTGAATGTGCTAGTCATAGCTTTAAATATCATGTAATTGAATGTGCTAGTCATAGCTTTAAATATCATGTAATTGAATGTGCTAGTCATAGCTTTAAATATCATGTAATTGAATGTGCTAGTCATATGCTTATGACTCCTGAATGCAGAAATATTTGTAAGAAAATGAAATAATTAACAACAGAAAATTAAATTACTGATAGTCGATTATATGCTATACCAAGGAAATATGAAACATCCGAGGTTTTTATTGATTTTAATATAATATGTTAAGTTCTTCGAATTGAAATATTTCATTAACTTACAGCTTTACTGGACATTTTCTTAACGTTTATTTTCGGAATAAGTTGCCGTTTGTATGCGAATCAACATTGGTTTAAATTTTGTCTCGAATGTGCGAGTCACATGTAAGTAATGTTGCTGTTGTGTCTTCAAGCTATACTAACCTCGTATCAAGGAAGAAAGAATAATATATAATTTGTTGATTTAAACTACTTTAGGATATTCTGTACTTGTTTCACTTGAAAAGCATAAATATTTTTACTTAGTTGTCTGTTTTTAAAACAACTAAATTATTTCCATATAACCAATTCTCATATCATATTTATTGTCCTGATTAATGTAACAGAATAAACAAATACAGAACTTTACTTTGAACGGGAATCTCAGCTATCATTTATTTCTGTGTTTTCGTATACTCTGTAATTATTACATGTCCAATGTGTACGTTTAAGGAATAAATTTTCCCGAAATAATTTCATCCACAGTGAATTTACCAATCTCCTTGTCAATAAGGGGTGGAAGGATCTTACTCAAAAGATCCATCACTACTGGTTGGAATTTATCAAAGACAGTTTTTCCCAGGTCATTGATGATCTGGTTGAGGACTGGAGATAATTTCGGGTCCAACAAATTGTCTAATTGCACTTGAATTTTGTCAGCGTTAGCATTCAAACTTAGCTGTTCTACTTTCAGTCTGTTGTTAACATTTTTCACCTGGAATCGGCCAAAAGCTATGGCATTGTCTACTTCAATTCGAAAATCACCATTACCATATAGTGGGAACACTAGAACCTTCCCATCTAGTCGATAGCGACCCGTGGCAGTTAGCTTTGGTAGCACAACTTCTCCTTCAGTGTACAGTTTCGCCAGATCGGCATCTAATTTTTGGAGTACAAATTTAGACAGCCCTTCAATTTTAAATTTCTTTTCGAAGTTTAATTGAAAATCAGCTACTCCTTCTTGAACATAAATATTGATATTGTCCGGAATCTCGAATGGATCTAAAACCGGGATTTGAGCTCCAGGGACGCCAATCGGCATGATTTTTCTTAGGTTTTCGAGTACTTCCTTCAGATAAAGGATAAAATTTGGATCGCTATAAAGAGTTCTTTGATCTTCTAAATCTCCTAGAAAAACAAAAACCAAACATGTTTTAATACCAAACATTTGTACTCGTTGTTCTACACACGACACTTTTTTAAAGTATGACGGGTGTTATTATTTTACCATTTCATTGTGTCCAGGTTTTTATTGTAAACATTTTTTATGTTCTATTCAAGTATACTGTGTAATTGGAGAAATAATTTATCCAAAATTATGTTAAAACATGAAAAGTCAGAGATTGGTATGACAAATATTATGTACGTATAGTTTAACTTTATGAAAACACTGATTCTCATCAGCGCTGTTTTAACTAATATTTCTCCTACCATGAAGTTTTTTTGTAGTAAAATAAATTTGTCGTTCGATAAATCATTCTAATCTAAATATATATAACCTAATAAAAGATTAAAGAAAATATTTCTATATCCAGAACGGTACCATAGAATGCTGGCCGTAAAAAAGTAATACAATTTACCAGGGTGTGGGTCGTTCTTTCTATGATTTTTGAGCCGTAACAGAAAATACGTTTGTCTAATGCAAGTACCCGAGCCACGCACGGCGTTAAACATCATTTTCTTCTGACGACGGTTCCACGAATTTTGATATTGACACCCTCGCTCAGCTGAGCCCTCATTCGCGGCATTAAAGGCAGTTATTCTGAAATGGCTGTTAAACCTGAACCTTTCATCTGATCATTGGCGGTTCCACGTAAGTTGATTTTATCGAATTGGTTCGGCTAATTCCTCACAACAACTTGTGATACCTGTCGGACAACCTTGTTCAATAGATTAATGCTTTAGTAAGCGTTGATAAATAAAAAATATATAATAAGACACCCTTAAAGCTGTAACATAATAAAAATATATATAATAAGACACCCTTAAAGCTGTAACATAATAAAAAATATATAATAAGACACCCTTAAAGCTGTAACATAATAAAACATTTCCCATTGAGTATGGATAAATGTTGTTCATTGAAAAATATATCGAAAATTTTCAAGACAAGAGATTCGTATCAAGTAATTAGCTTGACTGTCATTGTGGGTACAAATAATAAGCTTATCTGTAACGTGTGAGCTCCGATTATTTAACCGTAACCCAAATTCTAATGTAATTAAAAAAATATATTTCTTCCATCTTCCCTTTTACTTTTGTATAATTGAAAACAAAGACAATTGTTCGTTTCATTTGTTAACGACCGGTCGTTTCGACAGTAAAGGCCTCATCAGGCACAGACTGAAATGGTTTGTGAACAGGTTTATATATAGTTTAACCAAAGAACCGGAAGGAACCTTGACAGTCACCTTGAGACGAGTGGGGAGGAGCTTAAGATGGTTT